ACATTGCCTCCTAGGCATTCTGAGTGTGATGTGGCAGGAAAATAGTCCACAAAACTCCGGTCCTGAGAAGAACGGACGTCCTCAACATCTGCGTACGACTGAGACATCCCTTATTGCTATTGGGCTGCCACGTCGTGCGGATAGCCGACGAGAACTTCCTCGAAAGACTGCTACAGGATGTTGCTAACGGAGCTTGTCAGACAGTGGAAACGACACCAGGACGGTCTGAAGACTTCTCTCGAGCACTTTTAGTTCGACTAAGGGGAGCCAGAAGGTCTCAAATGAGATCGGCAGGCCCTGCTCACTTCCATAAAAAGTGGGGTAGCAGTATTCGAGGACAACCGACCACGGAAAGTGAAAGCTAAGTCTCAAGAACGCAAGGTGGCAACCCCCAGGAACCAAAGTCGTCATCGCCCGGTTCCTACCAACATTTCCGCGTTGTTAACTACTGTTCAGGGCCCCGATAGGCATGAAGGACATCTATTACACTGCCACCATCAGCAATGCAGGCGCAGAGGTTCCGACATCGCCTTCCTCCCCCCATTGCATTCGCACATTCGGATGACGTACAGGCCTGACTGCTCACCTGGAAATCCACCACAGTGTGATCGAGGAACTGCCGTCTAGAGCTGCAGCACATATCATATGTCCAGAACAGTCTGACATCATTTGGGCCCTCTTCAGAACTGATTTGAACAACAGCCCAGCCCGGACCTTCTATTGGCTCCACTCTAAATGCCCACAAACAAACACACACACACACACACACACACACTTAAATAATGCATGGATCTTTTGATCGCAGGTGTGTACGCGTAAATGACAAGAAAAACACCACACTTTGCACATACAACAATTTTGGGATGTGAGCTGCCGGTGTCGTTGGGACATGCTAGGCGCCGCATGTGAGCGTATGTTCGCCCTCCCCCCTCACCTCCCAACTGAGGTCTGCGTTTCCAGCGAGTTTCGGTCATGCGAGTGTGACGCTCGCAGACAAAGACTCGCGCCCCATGCCAACCCAACAATCTCAAACTTGGTAACTACAACCTTGCATAGTATTTCGCTACCGTGGGCAACAAAATGTCCCTTGGAACTACCACTACGTCCTACTAGTCATGATTTGGACGGTTTCCAATTGACGCGAAATTCAGTCCCTCTCAGGGCTTAGGTCGAGGGGAGGGGGGAATGCAATGGTTGCTTCGTAAGGCGGTCTTTACGGCAATCTAGACTTTTTTTAGTGAAGTCTGGCTCGTCTGTAAATAGGACGTGTGTAGCGTCTTTAGAGGTGCAGTTTAACTTTATTGGCCATGGTGTCAATGCCCACTTCCAGCCTTGACATCCTTTCGTCCTTTTAATGTGGTTGTCGTGGGAGGGGAAAGTGAGGTAGAGGCTTCGAAAGTCGACACCTTTCCAGACTGATGTGGCAGGGGCAGACGTTGTCACCTGCGATATATTACCACTCGTGCGATAACTCAGGGTAAACAAGTTTTCTGGGGGGAGGGGGCCTTCCTCTGACAGAGTCGATGTCGTTTCTTGTCCACATGGGGTTGAGAATCCCTCACGGGCTTCACATGAAATCTAATTCTCGCCTGTGGTCCAGTGAAACTCCGTAGCATGCGCAGCCGCTATGCCATGGAAAACTCGATGAGACTTAGAGTAAGAGTGAGGAGGATTACAGCCTGATTGGCGGGACGCCATCTCTCGTAGGACAAGTCAACCTTTGCGAAAACTGATTTCTTTGACAGCTCTCAAGTCGGAAGAACAATGTGCAGGGAAGTGTCATTTTCTGAAACATCTGACGGATGAGCATGATTGCCTGTATTCATGAAGCGATTACAGACCTCACTGAATTCTGCGCTTCGTTCCTCTGCCGATACTTGCGATCATCGACGCTGATGGAGCAAGAGTGGACCCAGCTCATTTGTGCAACCAGTCCATTCAAAACCTGCGTACTTTTGTCAATGAAAAAGCCGCCGGCAAACGATTTTATGGCAGCACACGTCCTTGAATGAGCGGTGAGCACCCCTAGTGTCACGTGCGCCGATTCGCCGGTAAGTCTCTCATGTTTCAGCGCTTACGTGTAAGTCAGACACCCGAAAGCAGCCAATACTGATGTGCTTCCTGGAGAATTAACTGCGCTCGACGAGCGCTCCTTTCTGATTGGCTGCAGGTGACGCCTGCCCTGATGACTGTCTGAACTCGCCTGCATGTGCTCGCTCCCCCCCGGGCGTCGCTGCACTCGCATTCAGTGGGGGACTGCCTCCTTAATTAATTACTCACAAGTGGCGACGTGGAGACCGCGTCACTGTTTTGCATCCCATGAGGTACTCTAATGTGTAAAGGCTTAAACGTTCTAGGGAATTCCTGACAGCCGACTCTGCTCAACTGGAGACGTCTTGCAGCTTCAAAAGTGGGAGGGGACGCACGATATACAGTAGATGTACCATCTCATGAAATGTCGACCGAAATTCTCAAATGCGTTTTCAATTTCAAGGGATTACTTGAGTATGCTTGTAATATTATCACGTGACATAGTACCAAGATATTCCAGTCGTGTCGGTATGCAGGCTTACGAACTCCTTACGGGCGCCTATGTAGACTAAATTCCATAAAGAGGATTACTTAAGAAGTACGATTTTTCCCAATGATTTTTGATACCCTTATAAATTCAAACATACTTTATGGGGAGTAAGCATAAAAATATCGTTTCTTCTACTCATTTGGTAGCAAATAACGTCTTCTCTAAATTTTATACTTTGAAGAAAAAGTATCGTTCGGTTTCAAAAAGTTGCTGATTATGAGATTTTCCAAGACCGTGACATTTTCAATCGTATAGCATCGCATCAGCACACTTATTAATCTTGAAGAAGAAGACACAATCGCCGGGACAAGAGCTTTATTAGCCTGACGTTTCGGATTTCTGCTCGAATCCATCCTCAGAGACAAAATCAGATAAGGGTGCTTCATGCATATGGGGCTGCAGTATTTATAGGACGCAGTAGGCATGCTACCGCATACCTATGAATATTCACGGCTCCCCCCCCCCCCTTCATCAGGGATCGTTGCACGTGGTGTGATGGCCGACATTCGCGTCGTTAATTGCGGCAATGGGGAAAACTCATGCTACTTGTGTAATCATTTTTACGGAATACTTCTCGCAGGCAGCCGGGAGGAAGCTCGTTCAAAATCCGGCACCCCGAAGTGATTGGAATATCGCAACACTACGCGCAATGATAATTAGTACTACAACACTACTTAGGTAGTCTTTTGGAGTTAATGACAGATTTCAGAATTCTGACAAACTCCCTAACGGGCCTGTTTGCATCTCGATCACTCGGGCACCACGCATCGGATTGATCTCCTTTCCCGTAACCAAGCTAAGGTTGATCAACTCTCATACAAAACCGAAGTTCGCCGAACGTTCGTAGACCTGTCCGGCTGCTTCTCGCTTGCTTGTCCCCACTAGTGCGTCCATTTCTGCCCTACCTTCTGTAAGCTACGACTTAATTGTCACAGACGGTCTCCTAGAGACATTCCAACTACTAAGAACCAGACCAACATCAGATGTAGTCTACCAGTCAGAACACTTCCAGAAACACCTCTGAATTACGTGAGCCTGGTGGTCATCTGGTGGATTCTAGATGTATTACTCAGGAAATCCTGCTTGGGCAGTCAACTTGCTGTATCAGATTTGGTGGATTCCAGACGTTGCAGTAGGTTGGGTGGGTAACTTGACCCAAGTGGGATTAAACTCGCGTCGTCCGGTGGGGCCTCGTAGCTAAGGTGACTAGAGCATTGGCTGTACTAATTCCTCCCCCTTACTGCCGTGGGCTCAAATCCCACCGAGGCGCCGAGTTTTTCACAGTTGGGTCAAAATAAATTGCTCAAAATCTGCCACATAAATTACTAATGTTCGAAAGACCATACACTCTCGTTATCATCGTGCCTACAGGTTCCTTGGCATCGACTCGGTGATCCGTATCGATTAAATGTGCGAGAATAGAACTCTAAATCGATCGGGTCTCACCTCTGTCTAGTCAGGCGGGTATATTTTCACGCACCCTTTTTACCAGGCGTCTCGTTGTACGGCCGATGTATCCCGCTCCACAGGAGCAAGTGAATGAGTAGATGCACGTTGATGTGGCCTCCAACGGTAGTCCGTCTTTACCTGCCAAACGCAGGAGGGGAGAGCTTGTGAAACATACGCGTAAATTAGCCGCGGGGAATGCTCTCGTGATAGCTGTAGTTAAGCGTCATCTGACTATTTCGCTCGCTGCGTCTTATGAATACATCTTTCTTTTCTGCAGTCTCAACAGTGGGCTTCGCAATTCGTTCCCAAATATTTCGGAGGACAAATCTATCTGGGTATCCGTTCCCGCGAAGTGTTCTCCGCAGTTGTCGGAGCTCTGCTTCTCTTCTCACAGAGATCCTAACGACCCGGATCTGCAAGTTGACAAAGGGTGAGAAGCGCGGATTCGCATTCCTCTAAATGGCTAACTTCTCTCCGACGAGCAGGCCCGTGTTAACAATTGATTCATGAAGAAAAAAACGGTGCAGTCTCAACTCTTCTGCACACTGGCTTACTCACATAGGCCCCAGGAACAATCAACAGCTGACTATTTGCGTCTATCACGCAGCTGCCTCATGCATGATTGTAGGCGTGTAACTGAGATCTGAGCGGCGCGACGAACAGGTCGCCGGAACTGTCTTGGCCTTCGAATTAGGAGTAAGTTGAACTTGAGCAACGATCCAGCCGCAGAACACCTGGGAGAAAACGGCCTACTGAAGTGACAATAGTCTCCATCAAGATGGTGCTGACGCCTAGAAAAGCTCTCAAGACCCACCTACGCCGCAGATCTGACTATTTCAGCGTCAAAAGTGTGCTAGAATGTGACATGAACCGTCTTAGGTTCATTAAAACCCAGTGCTTATTCCGTGGGCTTAGAGGAAACGGTCTCTAAAGTGAACTGGAAACCCGTATGCGTTAAGTCGCAGCCGGCATGCCAGAGGATGCTCTTCCCAAGAACGGTGTTATCAAGACCCAGGCATCTCGTTCCGAAACCGGCAACGTTATCCATCGTATCACGTGCGTGGGATACGCTTGTACGCAAGCCGAAGATCTGGGACAGGTCCAGGTGTACAAGCCGACTGTCCGCTGACATGAGCTCGTACACCACGTTTTTCTGCTAGCGCTTGGAAGAACCCGTAGTTCAGACTGGAATGCCACCGAATTCGGCACAGCCCCAGGCAAATACCCAACACTCCGGAAGTGACTGTGGCGTCTAAGCAGAGGTTGTACTTCGAGGCCAAAACCATCGAGTCTCCAGTAGCAGGATAGGGCGGAAGGCAGTGGGATCAGGAGTCTTATTGTGCATGGAATCTCGAGTCACCGTCCCGGGTGGCAAGGGCCATTGACAATGCCAGACCGTGTGCTGACAACGTCAATGCATGCCCGCGAGGGGGTTGGACAGCGATGCAATCTGCCTTATTAGGTTTGTGGAGGTAGCTTCGAATGTTGTTCTACTGCACTAGCCTAAAGATTGGGGTGTTCAAGTAGGGCACGATCGGTCGTGGTCGTCTGAATGAGCCTGTTTCAGTCGGCCAGACGGTAGGTAGAATGAGGTCAGGGCGTCTGAACACGCCCTTCGGGAAGATGAATGATCTCGGCGCAGCGGGGAATTGAACAAACATCCTGGACACAGTAATGATGACTGTGAACTATGTGGAAAGCCAGTATTGGCGGTACCGATCACTTTGAGCACACCCCACAGGTCGCCTCCACCCCCAAACTACTACTACCTTTACTACTTACTACTTCTTTACTACTACTGCTACTGCTACTGCTACTACTACTACAACTACTACTACTACTACTACTACTACTACTACTACTACTACTACTACTACTACTACTACTACTACTACTACTATTACAAGTTAACACCCCCTATGTCACTCCTACAGCCGGAAGACATCGATCCAGATCTTCGTAACTCTCAACTCAACATATGAAAACCTCGCTCTTCTCTGTCACCAGATGTGCCTGACAAGGCCTTTGTAATGGGTCAAAACTTCACAAGCAAACATCCGAATTTCAAAGGTGGCTTTTGCTCCTTTGGCATTATTTCGGAAGGTGTAGTAACCAAATAAGTAAGTTACTGAGTTGGTTTTTTGGTTTCCGATAATATATAACATTGGACAAAACAAACGCGCATGCACTCACTAGCCAAAGCAGTAATAAAAAGAATGATCCATGAGAATAAAAGATGCATACGTTCGAATACGTGGTATGCGGGGTGTGCTGCTTCTGAACGGACACAGCTAAGTGACACAAACGCGGTATTAAGAAAAAACGAAAAATGAGCGTCGGATGAGGCTGCGAGGTGAGAGAAGACGAACAGGGGCCATCGGGTAGGCACATTGACCCAGGCAGAAATAAGACCCGAGTTTGGAACACAGGGCGAAGGAGTGTATATAATAAAGTAGAAAAAAAGTGGACGGGGAGATGGGAGAAACCGGGGAAAAGATAAAAAAAACAGCAACATAAACGTATTTAAAAGTGCAGAGTCGGCGTCGACTCTCAGATCACAAAATGCCAGCGGAGGGGAGGATAGGTGCGCACATGAAGGACCTGAAGACCCTGTTGTGTTGCTCGGGGAGACGCGAACGACGGTGGTAGGTCGCGAGGGTGAGGGTATGACCATCAGAGCCAATGCCGAACACATCTAAGATAAATTGATGGAATTGGGAGCTGCGTTGAATCAGTGTCAAAAAATCACTTCTTCCAGTGCTGTCAACGAGATCATGTGTGGATATATATATTACCACATATATATCTTCCGTAGGGGAAGATTCCAGGCAGATAGACGGTGGGTATTACGGCGCAAGGTTTCAAGGACTTGAGCGCTTCAGGGGAGATCGACCACACGCACAACCACCAATTCACCCTGTGAAGTCGTCTGAACGCGCCACATCGCTGGATCCAAGTACTTTCCATCGGGTCCCATAAGGCCTTGAACGAAAGTCTGTTGCGCTATGGTTAGCTTGTCTCTAAAGTGGGCAAAAAAATGAACCAGCGGTGAGCATGAACGTTTTTTGTATGCAACTGGGCTGGTCGGTTCACCCCTACGCTGTGGCATGCAGAGGCGGAGTATCCTACGTGGTTGTTACTTAAGCATTCCCGAGGAATGTATGAGTTTAGTTGCATTGCGTGTGGGAGCTGCATTTTAAGAGAACCATTTTCATGCGTTTTGTGAAAAAGCACACCTTCACATATTGTATCCAGTGGAGTGCTTTCTCAATAAATAAAAAACTAGTAATACCAACATACACAGAAATTGAACCTACGTTTTCTACGCGTCGTTTATTTTATCTGAAGAGCACAAACACAGCCCCACATCTTCAAATAGTGAGACTTTCCAAACGGTCAGGGATCCCATAGTAGCTTTGTGCACGGGATAAATATACCTGGCACTGGTAGACCTCACAACCAAATGCCAAAGTCTCAAAAAGTCTTTAAAAAGTCAGAATACTCCTTCCCAGAAAGCATACGGAGTGTATGTTTCGTTAGCTTTGTCCAAAATTAAATATGTGCGGACATCTGTGAGTACCACATGAACTACTGTTCAAGCCTAATTCACGCAAGTAGAGTGGAGCGATGCTCAAGCGAGAGCCAGCGCCCTGCCTCATATGAACTGGCTCAAGATCGGGCTTGCAAACTCACCTACAGTGACTGGCCTACCCCGCGAAAAGTTAACTGAGATTCTGAAGTACATTTTCGATCAGATCGGAAGACTTATGTGGGGTTGTAATACCGATTATCGTGCGGCGTAATCACAAAATATTTCACAGGATGACGGATTTCAAATGAACTTCTTCCCCGCCGTCTACGAAAACCACACTCGGCATAAAGTGACTACGACAATTGTAGGTTGTGCAACCCCATCTCTCAACTTGTTTATGAGAAGGACTATGCACAAGCATTCTTAAAGAAAAACAAATCAGGCGCACGCGTTCGACAACAGAAAAAATTCGGAAATATCAAGAAAGCAGAGCGTTTGTGTTCTAACCGAGGCAAAGTAAACCGAAAGGCACTGGGCGATTCTTGTAGCACGCGTAGCATAGTGAGTACCGACATGGACAAAAAGGGTCTAACTACTCTTCCAGAAGAAATAAGTAAGTCACGGCATACGGAATCGGCAATGAAAGGCAATGGAAGTGCATTGGGGTAACTAGGATATCAAGGTAAGCTAAAGGGATTACGGAGAAGGGGGAGCGAGAACATCATGTTAAATAATTTATCACCAAAAAAGTCAAACTGAAGCAGCTCGGTGCGTGCGGTTATATCAAAGTGTTAGATAACACACAAAGGGAGACTTCCGCAGCTATGGATTAATAAACAAGAAGACCCTCTAAGATAAACATGGCAGTTACCTGAATAGCATTGTCGACAAAGACATCGGAGACTGGAATGGACATTTCTGGCTTATTAGTCGTTGTCAGCAAGTCATACCCATAACCCAAAGGGTGGAAAACCTGGGCCTTTAGGCACAACGGGACGTGTAAGTTCTGTAGAAATGATCGGTTAGCGCCCCTCCACCATTATATATTCCCGATCATAACCGACAGGGCAACGAGCTAGTGGCGCAGTGGTTATAGGCGTGGACTTCTAAACCAACAGGTCGCGAGTTCGAGGCTCGGGTGCTTCACACTTCGGGCTTGCGTATGGCTGGCTGACGACGGCTAATAAGCCAGAAATGGCCATTCCAGTCTCCCTTGTCTTTGTCGGTAATGCCATTCTGCCAATGTATCATGCGCTGCTGTGCGGCTGCTGGTTGGGCTCGAGAGAGGGCCCTTAAGGCACAACGGAACGAGTGAGTTCTGTATAAACGATCGGTGAGCGCCCCCTACCATTGTATATTCCCGATCGAAAACCGACAGGGCAACGGGCTCGTGGCCCAGTGGTTAGAGACGTAGTCTTCTAACTAACAGGTCGCGAGTTCGAGCCTCGGGTGTTCCACACTTCGGGGTTGGGCATGACTGGCTGACGACGGCTAATAAGCCAGAAATGGCCATTCCAGTCTCCCTTGTCTTTGTCGGTAATATCATTCTGCCTATATCATGAGCCGCTTTGCAGCTGCTGGTTGGGCTCAAGAGAGAGCCATAAGACACAACCGGACGAGTGCATTCCGTAAAACGATCGATAAGCGCCCCTCTACCATATACGCGCTAAATCCAGTGGGATTACACAACCTATCTTTACGATGACTACTTAAGTACTGTGATTTCTCCCACTGAATTTCGATACTCTCTTTAATTCAAATATGTTCTATAGAAAACATGCACGCAAAAAATTCTTTTTTGCACTCATTTAGTATAACAATACGCTTTCTCCATTAGTCATTATTTTGCCTATGATATGACAGAAAGCAGTAGATAAGTAGCGTGAATTTCTTCGAGGAAAGTTGCTATTCGTTTTTATGACTCGAATTATGCCTGCCATGTGGTTTGGGCAAGTTTGCCAAATTTTGTCAAATGTAAAAATTCATCGGCCACTTAGTTTGCATTATGACCTTCCAAGGCCCCTTGCAGTATCTGATCTATCTTATGAACTGTTAACTGAAAATATGAAATGTGTTTCCGACTAGGAAGGATAACTTATGTGGGATTGTGATAGCGATTTTCGTGCAACATACTTCCAGTCAGGCCAGAATACCGGCTTTTGAATGGGAGTCTGAAATGCGTTTTCAGGCAGAAGAGATTATCTAGATGGTATTGTAATGCTGATCATTATTTCGCATACCCCCTAGGATATCTCAGTCCGAACGGGATGCTTATTCTCGGCTATCTTCAAAAAGCACTGTAAAAATGATCACTTGAGTAGTATGACTTTTTCCTTGATTTTCGGCTCCCCTATAAATTAAAGTATGTTTTATGGAAAACGTGCACAGAACTATGCTTCTGTACTCATTTGGTGACAAATAACGTCATCTCCGAGTTTCGTACTGCAAGGAAAGGTATTATTTGGTGCAGCGCAAGTCTACTATTACTAAAAACTAATTCAGGCACAAGTCAACATCCCTGCTCTCACTCGGCTGTGGAGCACACGGTGGACATCGTCGAAACCGTAGGTCAAACTGCCGTATTTGTCTGCCTATAAATGTTCCTCATGAAGTACAGTAGATGTGCTAACTCATGAAATGTCAACCAAAATTTCGAAATGCGTTCTCGTTTCGAAAAGATAAATTAAGTATGCAATTTTCTCATTGATTTTCGATGCCCTTGAAAATTCAATTATATTTCATGAAAACATGCATAAAAATATTCATTATTTTACTTATTCGGTAGAAAATTACGTCTTCTTCCAATTTCATATTCAAAAGAAGGGTATAATTCGGTTTCAAAAAAGTTTCTAATTGTGAGATTTTTTAATACCGTTAAATGGCCATTCATGAAACGTCATGTATCTGCATTTACGAATGTGGCTTGTAAAGTTAACAATATTGCATGCATTTCTCTACGTTGTTAAGAGGAGGCCATATGTGGTTCATAAAATTCAGCAGTGGATTTGAGCAATATTGTTAACTTTACAGGCCACATTCGTAAATGCAGGTACATGACGTTTCATGAACGGCCATTTAACGGTATTAAAAAATCTCACAATTAGAAACTTTTTTAAAACCGAATTATACTCTTCTTTTGAGTATGAAATTGGAAGAAGACGTGATTTTCTACCGAATAAGTAAAAGAATGAATATTTTCATGAAATATAATTGAATTTTCCAGGGCATCGAAAATCAATGAGAAAATTGCATACTTCTTAAGTAGTCATTTTTGCAGAGTATAGATCTTGCATGCAGCCGAAAATAAGTTCTTTTGAAAGCCGACACCCTGAGGTAACTGGATCATTATAGATTTATGCTGCATCATGATTAGTTTTACAACACTACTTAATTTATCTTTTCGAAACGAGAAAGCATTTCGAAATTTTGGTAGACATTTCATGAGTTAGC